TGTTTAACTATTGATGATCTTTCTTTATACATATTTTATATATGTATAAAGGGTATACATTTATAACCATAAATGTGTGTGTGTATGCACAGATTTGTATACACACATCTTTATGACCATTTGTGTACCCATTAGAAGAGCCTGAGTTGTGCACACAAGTTTCTGAACTCTTTGGACTATGACCAAATAAATATACTCTGGCCGGGTAGCTCTGTTGGTTAGAGCATCCTCCTGGTACACCAAGGTTGCGGGTTCAATCCCCAGTCAGGGCACATACAAGGATCAACCAATCCTATATAATAAAAGTCTAATAAGCAAACTGTCCCCTTGACCGGGAGTTCAACTCCTCGCTATGACATGCGCAGAAGGAGGCGTAGAACATGGCGGGCATTGGTGACATGCTGCGACCTCTCCCCGACTACCTGGGGATGGAGGTGTGGTGAGAATGCAGAGCTCACTCTCACTCCCCCTGCTACCCTCCCCCAGGACACCAGGGAGGAGCCTGCCCCGCACCTGTGCCGCATCTTCCAGGTTGCTGGGCTGCAGCCACTGGGACTGCAGGGGCCAGTCGGGCTCCCCATGGGTTTGCACAGAAGCCGGTCTGCGAGGCCAGCCAGGAGAGAGTGCGCTGCCCATCCAGCTTCCATGTGGCACCGCTGGGAGGCCCAGGGGCCCACACTGCACCCCAGCCAGTGGCATCCGGCCATGCTCACCACATCTCTGTGTGGGGAATCGGGCGCTATGACTCAGGCAGAGGGGGGCGTGCGGGGGCCTGGGGGCCCAGGTGCCTCCCAGAACCCAGACATCAGCTGGGATCTGCCCTTCCACGCCAGATGCTTGTGCTTCGATTGCTGACCAGGCCTAGGGACCGCACCCGTATACGAATTTTGTGCACCGGGCCTCTAGTGAATGCATAAATAAGTGGAACAACAAATCGGTGTTTCTCTTTCTCTTCTTCTCTCTTTAAAAATCAATCAATAAATTAAAATAATTAATAGAGAGCTAAGTAACCTATGAGCGAAGAATAAAAGTAGAAAGGGGGCATTTGGTAATTACTTGATATTCCAGCTATGTTTTAAGAATGTGTCCCTCTCGACAGCATGGGTGGACTTAGAGGGTATTATGCCAACTGAAATAAGTCAGTCAGAGAAAGACAAAAACCATATGATTTCACTTACACATGGAATCTAAAGGACAGTATAAACTAACAAACAAACAGAAACAGACTCATAGATACAGAGAACAGACTGATGGTTACCAGACAGGAGGAGGTTGGGGAACTGGGTGAAAAAGGTGAAGGGTTTAAGAAATACAGATTGACCCTAACTGGTCTGGTTCAGTGGATAGAGTGTCGGCCTGCGGACTGAAAGGTCCCAGGTTCGATTCTGGTCAAGGGCATGTACCTTAGTTGTGGGCACATTCCCAGTGGGAGGTGTGCAGGAGGCAGCTGATTGATGTTTCTAACTCTCTAACCCTCTTTCTTCCTCTCTGTAAAAAATCAATAAAATATGTTAAAAAAAAAAAAAGAACAGAAATACAAATTGGTAGGTAAAACAACAACAACAACAACAAAAAAAAAAAACAGAGCCCGGTGGAGATCATGGTTCCATTCCTGTCATTGTGGGTTCCATCCCCAGAAGGGGCGTGTAGGAGGCAGGCAGCCCATCAATGATTCTCTCTCATCATTGATGTTTCTATCCTTCTCACCTTCTCTCTTCCTCTCTCTGAAATCAATAAAAATATATATATTCTTTTTTACAGAATGTGTCCCCCTCGTGGAGTCAGGGAGCACTGTTGGTGGGAAGGACTTGCTTGACAGTGAGCTATGACTGTCAGATCACTTTGTGAGACTGAAGTCTTGACTCCTTACTTCTCTGGGCTGAAGCTGTCCCATCTGTAAAAGGTGATATTTGAGGACTCTTTTATCTCTAACACGCTATGAATTTTCAGCATTATTAACTATTGATACTTTTCATAACAGCAAGTAGTTGAATCCTAACTGCATTTTCTTTTCTGTGTTAGTGTGTTTCAACCTTCTGAGAGTTTGTATTGGATAAGAAATATATTGGACTCTCTTCTTCCTGACATGAGGGAATGCAGCTGGCGGAGTAATTTGTGTCCCTTTTGGGGACTTACATCAACTATTTCACGTTGTCGGGCGGCTTCTGAAGACATCAGGCGCCTGGAAGGAATAGCACTAAAGCCACTGCTGGGTAAAGACCAGACTTAGAGAAACATCCTCTGAATCTGCAAACTAGAACACACAGTGTTTTAGTGTTTAAGATGTTTAAACTCACTATCTTGGGTGTGAGTGGTTTTCTTATTATCATATGGTATCTTATTTTGAAGCTTAGGATTCCTGAGAGACCTTCAAAGTCATCTCAGCATGCAGTGTGAATGTCTCCAGGATTCTTGCCATTCTGTTAAGAGTTCTCTGCCCAATCTCAACTGCCCTGTCTGCTCCCCTGACACATACACCACACGCTTCCAGATGGCTAACTTTTAAAAACTGTTTTTATTTTTATTAATTTCAGAGAGGAAGGGAGAAAGAGATAGAAACATCAATGATTAGACAGAATCATGGATCAGCTGCCTCCTGCAATCTTCCTACTGGGGATTGAGCCCTTAACCCAGGCATGTGCCCTGGACCAGAATCCAACCTGGGACCCTTTAGTCCACAGGTGGATGCTCTATCCATTGAGGCAAACCAGCAAGGGCCCAGATGGCTAACTCTAATTCAATTCAGCAAGTATTTATGGACTGCACATTGGGTGCCCAGAACTGTGGTAGATGTTAGGGATATAAACATATCTAAAATAGGAACCTACCAACATGAATTAACCACAAAGCACTCATCTAGGTTAAGTGAACAAACTGAACTCCTGTGTACCATCATTTAACATTGAACACTTAAAAATTAAGTCAGATATTTAATTTAAATATTTTATTTTAAACTAGAGGCTCGGTGCATGATATTCATGCATGAGGAAGGGGGGTCCCCTCAGCCCAGAATGCACCCTCTCGCAACCCAGGACCCCTCAGAGGGTGTCAGACTGCCAGTTTAGGCCCAATCCCGCGGGTCTAAACCGGCAGTCGGACATCTTTCTTGCAATCTGGGACTGCTGGCTCCTAACTGTTTGCCTGCCTGCCTGATCACCCCTAACCACTTGCCTGCCTGCCTCATCACCCCTAATCACTCGCCTGCTTGCCTCATCACCCCTAACTGCCTCTACCTTGGCCCCTGCCGCTGCGGCTTCGTCTGGAAGGACATCCAGAATGACATCCAAAGGTCGTTCAGCTATCTGGTCTAATTAGCATATTATGCTTTTATTATTATAGATTTTTATTTTGTTAATATTATTTTTTGTTTTCTTTTTTTCACAGGTAATGATGATCCCTTCATCTTGCTGATACTAGAAACTTTGTCTTGTAGTGCTATGGCTGATTCATGACAACAGAATAACTCCATCAGCGTCTTCAAGGACACTCCTATTTACTATTTCAAGAGAGAAGGTAAATGTTTCTATCCTTTCATCCAAAAGCGATACCAAACTACTAACATACATTTAAAGGAAGTGGTACTCAAGATACATTGTTTATAATCACACTTACAATAAGGTGCTCTGTCAAGAAGCCATTCCTGCCCACCCTATTGCTGTAGATGGTATTAGAAGGTCGAGTCGACAGTAATATTAATACCAGGAATCCAAGTAAAGTTCATACACTCTTGGCCCAGCTGGCTCCAGCTCACCAAATCAAAAGCTGGTGAAAGGTGAGTAAAAGTTGGGGGAAAGTTTTAATTTGCTTTGCTACATTTCTTTACGAGGTGAAAGAGGATATAGCTAAGTACTCAATAGTAAAATAATTAAACGGAAGTCTACTTACTTCTCCTGAAAAGTACTGACCCTGCATTTTACAAAGAAGAATGTTGACCTCTCGTTTTAAGAATCTATCTAGCAAATAATCGGTGTTTCTATGAGAATATTTAGAGGTTGGATTGTCTAGACATGCACAGTCTCATCCAATAGTCACTAGTTGCATGTAGTTAGTGAGCACTTAAAGTGTGAGTAGTCCAAACTAAGAGTTACTCTAAGTGTGCTTTAACACACTGGATTTTGAAGACTTATATGAAAAAAAATAATTTAAAATATCTGGTTAATATTTTGTTATGTAGATTACATGACAAAAAGATAATGTTTTGAACATATTGGTTAAATAAATATATTAAATTAATTTCATGTGTTATTTTAATTAAATATATTGTTATTGATTTCAGAGAGGAAGGGAGAGGGAGAGATGGAAACATCAATGATGAGAGAGAATCACTAATCAGCTGCCTCCTGCATGCCCCCTACTGGGGATCGAGCCCACAACCCAGAGCCCTTGATTGAAATTGAACCCAGGACTCTTTTATCCACAGGCTGATGCTCTAGCCACTGAGCCAAACCAGCTATGCCTCATGTGTTACTTTTTACTTTATCAGGATATTTTAAATTACATACCTGGCTTACATTATATTTTTATTGACAACTCTGATCTATAACCTACTTTAAAGCAGTAAGGACAATGTTATCACATATGTGTGTAATATGTAATATGTTAGTAGTTTTAATTACATCCTACAAATGGATATTTGAAAGCCAACATTCTGGAAAGGTATCTTACAAACAGTTCAAATATCTTTATCTCTAATCTTTCTCTCTAATCAACCCCAGAAGGCTTATGAGGTAGACTGTATTATTGTTCTAAATGTGTACAGCCATATTTTTAGAGTCCTTCCTATTGGATAACTATAGTCCTGGCTTCAGGCTTGGTCATGCGACTTACCGTGGCCAATGAAATGCGAGTGGCAATGACATAAAACATCCTGAGCAGATGCTTTACCATCACATGGTCTGGAACTCTCTTTCTCCTGGGCCACAAGGGACAGCTTCTGCAACCTGAGTGACGATAACACAGAGCAGAGCCACAGCTGACCCTTGAGGAATATGTTACCTGAGTGTGAAGAAAAACTTCTCCCAGAAGATGGTCAAAATTTTTCCCCGGAATATGGCCAAGACATCTGTTTTCTCTTTTGCACCAAAACTAAGTTTAAGTATTTCCAGTTTGGCAGGTGTGGGCCAGAAATTGATGCAACTCTTCAGGAGAGACTCTAAGAAACTCTAGGTAGGAATTCAATGAAGCAGTCGGTATCTGATTGCTCATTGCTTGTGTTCTCAGCACCACACAGTGCCTGATACATAGCAGGTGACCTACCAATATTTGTTAAATAAATGAATGATGACTAGGTCTTAATGTGCTTGAAGCTCACATATATTTGGGGACATTCTGTAAGAAAAAAAAAAAGTCCCACATTACTAATACAAAGTTAGGTTACAAAAGTGAAAATTTATTTAGACTGAGGAAAAAATCTTAATATATTAAAAGATCTTAGGACAAAAATACTACAAATATCATGCAAACCTAGGAAAATAACATGGTATATTTACTAATTATTTGCTTGACTCACCTCTATATTAAATTTTTCCATAGATGTTTTGGCTGCAAACTCTTTAATCTTCTCTTTAGAAGACAACCATTTGCAAACTTATTTTCTATAGAAAGATCAGAAAGATCATTTAATCTTTCCTTTAGCATGATTGATTGAAAAAATTATTACCAGTAATTTAGAACATTTCCTTTAAACCTCACACAACCTTATTGGTAATTAAACTTTTTAAATTATTGGCAATTTTGAGCAAACCTCAACCAAGTTTCTTTCATGTATGACTGTAAGACTATATAAAGGCCTTTCAAATAAGTGTTCTTATGTGGTGAATACATAATCTTTGAACTGATGAGACTCATGGTAGTGGGACATTATGAGTTTTATGTTATTTTCATTGATGATTGTATTATATGTCAAGCAGAAAGAAATTTAAATATTTTCCCAAAGCATTTATATGATTTACTAGAGGCCCGGTGCACAGATTCATGCACATTGAAAGGAAATTAATTAGAAGAAATATTTTAATATCTCTATTTGCCCTTTCTCTATGATAGAAGTGTCAACCAAATTCACGATCAACAATGACAGATCGAAACACACGCATGTGATTGGCGCCAGTGAGAGCTTTATATGGATTGTGCATGTGTGAGTCAACTTAGCCATATATATATATATATAATAAACTTGCTTAATTAGACCTGCTTTCTGATTTAGCTAAACTTTTTCCAGCCCAGTGAAGCACTCCAACTTCTCTTTCAGGTAATTGTCAGCAACACAGCAGTAAATATCAACATGAAGCAGATTATTATTGTAGATCATACAGGGAGAACAAAGGGGAATATATTTAACTGTAGCAGTGTTTGTCTATATTCTGTGCAATGAGAAAACCTGAAGTCATCTTTAAGGTCCACCATTTCTTACTTCTTTTTAGTTTCTAAACCTTCTAAATCTCTGTTTTCTGGCTAATGAAAAGAAAGTAGGATTCTACCAAGTCTCCTATCTAACTACTCCAGGACTTCTGTGAGGATCAAATGAAATTAGGCACATGAAAATGCTTCACAGACATTTGGTTAAAGTGTAAAATGTTTCCACCTGGCTATAAAGCTAGTTGTGTTCCTGGGCTGAAGAAACTCCAAGGAGACTAGTCGCTAGAGAGAGTAAGCTGAGTGTTGCTATGTGACATCATTACCCAGAGCCCACAGCGACCATTTCCAGGCCGGGCTGGGCTGTGGACCACATTTTGCACCATGGGGTCTTGACAGCATTGGCTGCAATTTGGTGGGCCATCACTCTGGAGTGTGGCGGGGCCTGTGTCCCATTTGGGGGAAGCCAAGTGTTGCTTTGTGGGTGCCAGATCCATGGTGCTGTTTCTTTGTAAATGGCCAGTGCACGTCACAGCAGCTCCAGCGTTAAGCATCTGCCCCCTGGTGGTCAGTGCACATCATAGAAACCAGTCAGACAGTCAGACAGACATTTAGCATTTTAGCCTTTTATATATAAACATTCCTCCTCATTAATTAGTTTATCAAGCAGGCTATAGTGGCACATTTTAAATTGCATATGCTGCATTATTGAGTATATTACAGACAGAAGAAAAATTACATTTTGACTAAGCCTTAATGAAAACCCAATTCTTCGCTTACAGTTTTACATGTGAGATGATGAGAACAATTTTCCACAGACCACCTTTCAGTTCATACATTTTAGATGTTTTTTCTCTACCAGATGCTGTAGGTTATGTTCAAAATCATCTCTGATCCTGCACCTTCGTGTCATGAAACTGGTTAAGTCCACACAGTGGGTGGTAGGAATATCCTTGGAAGCTTCCTCTACACCTGAATGTCTTAATATAACTAACTTAACTATACATCAAAGTGAGTAGGAACTACTTAGCCACATCCTACTAAACCCAGACAAAGTGTATTTGCAAACTGACTTGCCTTTGGCGAAGCTCTAGAACATATTTCTAGTGTATCTATATATTTTTCTATCTTGAGTAGCTAAGTCTCTGATAAATTTTCAAAACAAGGTAAAATTATGACATGTATAAGAAATATGTTATATTTATAAAATAAGAGATTATACCCAGCCGGCATGGCTCAGTGGTTGAGTATCAACCTATGAACTAAGAGATCATGGTTTGATTCCCAGTCAGGGCACATGCCCAGGTTGTGGGCTTGCTCCTCAATAGGGGGCCTGCAGGAGGCAGCTGATCAATGATTTTCTCTCATCATTGGTGTTTCTATCTCTCCCTCTCACTTTCTCTATGAAATAAATAAAAAACATATGTTAAAAAATAAAAACTAAGATATTATTTTATAGTATGTATAAAATAAACATATGTCAAAGATTTTTATGAAATTCATGAAATAATGAGAGAACTGGGGAATTTGTTAAAATCGATTCAAAGGAGGAGTCAAAGAACTACAAATTCATATAGAGTAAAGGAATGTTGAAATAAATTTATAAATAAAAGAAAATTTGAATTTTTCTACAGGAGTGAGTGGGTAATAAGAGAAGTCAATTCAACCTCCACCAGGTAGAATCTACCCGTGTGTCTATAGATATGAAAGACAGACGATGCCTCCCTTCCTGCACCTCCAAGATGCCCACATCGAAATCCTCAGACCCTGTGGATCTGTTAGGTTACATGGCAAAGGGAATGGGGGTTGCAGAGGCGATTACGATTGCCAATCAGCTGACCTGATCACAGAGAGATTATCCTGGATTATCCATCTGGGCCCAATGTAATCACAAGGGCCCTTCACAGTGGGAGAGGGTAAGCAGAAGAGAGTTAAAGGAGCTGTGACCACTGAAGAAAGGCCAGAAGGATGCAAGATTGCTGGCTTTGAAGGTGGGAAAAGAGGTCCAAGAATCCAGGATGTTGTGGACTCTAAAAGCTGGAAAAGGCAAGAAAATGAATTTTTCCCTATAACCTCCAGAAAAAAAAAGTGGAGCTCTACAGATACCTTGCTTAGTCCAGTGAGAGACCTGCGTGGGACTTCTGGCCTCCAAACCTATAAGACAGTAAAGTTGTGTTAAATTTTTAAAGGAGCAGTAGAAAATTAACATAGTAGAAAAGAATTAGTTACATTGCTATCAGTTACCTAGGATTTAGAGTTTAAAAATAGCCTAGTCAGAGTTTAAAAATAGCCTGTAAAAACAAAGGTGGGCAGGTTTTTGTTTCTGTTTTTTTGTGAGATTCATAGATCACACACACACACACAATTAAGACCTCATACTTAAGCTACATCAGCAGAGCTTATGGAGCTTACTTTTCAGGCAGCAAATAAAAGTTGGAATGTACTCCTAATGAGATGAATGACTCAGCACTTAGCAATTACAAAGATGCCCTATCCAACCACAGGATCATTAATCACTGATGGAAGCAGAAATGACCAAATTGATGACTTGATGGTTCAGTAGATCTCCCTTGAAAACTGGGGAGAGCCAAATCATCAATAACTCTGGAAGCAATTCTTGCTCCATCAGCCAATTTCTAGCCAAAAGGAGTAATAGCCTCTTGGTATCCAACCGCTGCAGCTTCAGGGTTTATGTTACAGCAAAATTTTCTTTCCTTCAATTAAAATAAGCTGTGTAATACTTATGACTGGACTCTTATCCTATGGAAATTCTTATCAAGTAGAAATTGAATGACAGACACTGGAAAAAAAAACCACAAAAATATAAAAAGCATCAGATAAAAAAAAAATTAAGATTGAAGCAGAATCATGTGACTTTTGCTTTCCTGGCATCTATATCTCATTCTTTTCATAACAACACTTAAGAGTGTCAGAGGAAGCTGATCTCATACATATTCCTCTTACCACTCCATTCAGACAAGAGTGGGTGAATGATCCAAGCCTGGCCCATCTGTGTCAATGATAGGTTTAAGAATTTATGAGCCTGTCCAGTGTGGCTCAGTGGTTGAGCATCGACCTATAAACCAGGAGGTCATGGTTCCATTCCCGGTCAGGGTATATGCCCGGGTTTGGGGCTTGGCTCCTGGTAGGGGGTGTGCAGGAGGCAGCTGATCAATGATTCTCATCATTTATGTTTCTCTCTCTCTCCCTCGCCCTTCCTCTCTGAAATGAATAAAACTATGTTTAAAAACAAAAAGAATTTAGGGGACCAAATTTGACCCACTAAGAATCAAGCCTGGATCATTATTTGAAAAGTGTCAGAAAAAAAAAAAAAGAAAAGTGTCAGGTAAGAGGCACTTTCTATGGTCTAGTCTTGCTAACATGGTAGAATATGGACTTGAGTTGAGGGAGAATCAGCTTGACAATGAAGTCAACTCAGAGGGAAGCAGGAAGGAGAACACAGAGTCATTTGGTATCATTTGTACTCTGTTGGGTTTTTTAAAAACGTTTTTATTGATTTGAGAAAGAGAGAGGAAGGGAGAATGATAGAGAGATAGAAACATAAATAGGCTGCCTTCTGCACTCCCCCTACTGGGGATCAAGCCTGAAACACAGGCATGTGCCCTGACTGGGAATTGAACCAGGGACCACAGGATTCATGGGTCGATGTTCAACCACTGAGCCACACTAGCCAGGCTCATTTGTACTCTTAATTCCAGTCATGTCTATTATAAGATCATCTACCTCTGGTTTTTCCAAAATAGTCAATTATTTCATCCCCTTTCCCTCATAAGTCTATCTGGGCTTAATTTCTGTTACTTGCCATCAGGAGAGGCCTGGCTAAGACAACCCTGTATATTTGATAAGTTATCTCACTACTGTTAAAAGATAACCCAAGGCATAGTAAAATTTTAAGTTTATTTGAGCAAAAATTAATTCAAAGCAGGAAGTGCCAAACCATAAGTGGCTAGAAGCACTCCACTGACAGGAGCTAGAGAAGACTTTTATATAGAAATGGCAGAAGCAAAGCAATGGAATTACTTGATAGGCTATACTTTAAATACTTGCCTTATTTGAAAAAATAAGACTAGTTGGCTGTTTGTGGCTGGTTGCCCTTAAGTTTTGCCTTCTTAACCTTGAGGTATGTTTGGGCTTGTGTTTTGGATGGCTAAAGTATTAGAATTACCTTGGTCTAATGGCTTCCATATTTAATTAATTTAACACTACCAAACAGACTGGTCAAGGAAGAAAGTAAATACACTGGGGGGGGAGGGGGAGGGAGGAGACAAATTTCAATTGTTAAAAATAAATTTAAAAGGACCAAATATCATCTATTCATGATACTTCTTGATAATCACTGCATTTGATAGCTAACACTAACCACTAAAAGCTCTTACAAAAACCTATGTCTTGGCAAAGTGGCTTCAACTTCTACCATGATCACGATATATTTTATACTGTTCCTAAATCGCCTGAAACACTGTCTTGGAATCCATATCAGCATCTAAAGCCTGGGGGAAGGATACAGAAATGGAGCAAATATAGTCTGCCTGTCATATACTTATGCTCTAGGGAGAGATAACGGAAGAAAATCTAGCTGTTACTAAAAATGAGTGCTATCTGTAAAAATAACTATAGCACAATTTGATAAATTGTTATCCCTTATTTTCATCCATTAAAAACAAATTATTTCTCCTTTGAAACCTTTCTAGAACCTCCATTGTAGGCCTATATCTGTGGTGCTTTTTGGTCTATCTTCAGCACATCTGAGAATGCAGAAGAAGCAAAGAGAATGAAATGAAATAACTCAATTATTAGAATAATATGATTAAGGTGATTCACTCAGCAAAAATGAAGTCGAACTATTAAAAAGAGTTTTAATGGGGAGTATCATCTTTCATAAATCAAGAAAGCAAACCATGAACCATTTGGAAAGCCACCTGGTTTGTGTCCCCTTTTCATTTATCTTAATTTAGCAGCTTCACGGAGCATGGCCTGGCAGTTCAGTGTGAGGTCTAAGGTTGTGGAACAGAGTGTTCCTCCACCTTTCCCTCATATATAAACTTAGGTTGTTGTTTTTTTCCCCCAGCTTTGAAAGGGAAAGGAAAATTTTCAACTCATAACAAAAGACTAGCATCAAAACATAATTTTAACATTTAAGTAAACATTTTTTAAACTCTAACAAACCAATAATAATGGAGAGTAATTAAAGGCAAATCTTGGATGGCCTCTTCAGTCATCTCTTCCCCCACAACATTGCCTCCGTTTAGCATTAATTCACCACTTCTCTCCTATATGTATGTAATGGCCTCCCAATTGATCTCTGGGCTTTTAGTTTGCCCTACTGATCATCTTCTATCCGGTTGCCAGAAAGACTTAAATCTCACAAGGTCACACTTCTGCTTAAAATTGTACCTGGATTTCAAGGTTAAATTCAGATTGTCTCCTTAGCACAGCTGCATGACTCTGTAGCTCACATCTTTCATCATCTGTCTCACTGGCACCTTCATTCTGGCCACACTGAACTAATCACCCGACTCCCATTTGTTGCTTCCTGCACTTTGTTGCTGTCAGGAATCCCCTCCCCACTTAGCCAATTTCGCCTCCCCTTCAAAACTTAGGGCCAGCATTACCTTTTCCAGGAAACCTTTCCAGTTCCTTCGGACCTAGGTCCCCTCCTAAGTGCTCCCTGTGATTAATTAGGCTTCTGCTGGTATCACACAGCACTGTGCGTGATTTCGGTTTACTTGTCTGTCTCTCCTGCAGTCTACAATACTCATCTTTTTATCTTCTGTGCCAAGCTTCGGGCCTGTCACATAGCAGCCGCCTGAAGTGCCTGTTGAAAGAATTCATTTCAGAAGTAGAACCATGGGGCTGAATGAGCCCCCAGAGAAAAACATCAAAGAAGAGGTTGCTGAGCCTTCTATATTAGGGAGTAAAGAGATTTCGTGGTCTGGAAATGGCAGGAGGCGGGGGGCATCTGTGAGCTGGAGAAGAGAAAAAAATTGTTTCACCGGCCTCGATTTTTAGCTTACTGGGCCAATAGGCGTGCAGGGCAGGTGGAGCCAAAACGAGAAAAACTACATTTCCCATTATGCCCCGGGGCACCGCTCCGGGTTTCCCCCTCTTCAGCACCACCTCTTCCTCGCGGAAGTGAAAGGAGAACTTCCGGTCCCGGCAAAACCCCGCGCCGGCGGCGTTAGGTCAGCCCCGTAGGGCCTTGCTCGGAAGCTCCGCCTTCGCTCAGGTCTTTCTAGAAACCCAGCTTTGCTCCTGGCGGTGCCGGACAGGTACTTCCCGGCCTCTACGGGCGTCCCCGGGGCAGTCCGCCGCACTGGTGCTGGGGGGAACTTGTCTTTCTGGAAGGAGTTGGAGTTCTCGCGGGGCGCTCCCGGCTTGTGGCACCGGCAGAGAAGCCGGTTACGGGGGCCGGGGCCCCGCGCTGACATTTTTCTTTTCC